CCTCGCACCTTTTTCCCATAATTTGGGGGGGGGGGGGGGGGGGAAATCTACTTTATGATCACAGAAGCCCCATATTTTGCTTCCATTAACCATTGTTTTAAAAAAAAACAAACCACCTTCCAAAACCAGGACATAATTCTTCCTCTTCTCTGTGGATTTGTGTGCTGTAGATGAGCTGTGTGTGCATTTCTAATGTTTCCCATACGACTCTCTCACTTAGTCCTTTTTCCTCATTGTGCATTAGCAGTCCAAACAAGCCTGGTCTCTGTTTCAGGCTGGAGTAGTAAACTCTGTCCAGAAAAAATGGGTTTTTTGCAAGCTAAGTTTGCTCATATTTCGTACATAGTGGAAACTATGCTAAGTGTCCTCTCTCAGCAGCATATGAGGGTATCTGTAGAACTGTTAACATTAGCAGCGGTTAATACAAGTATAGACCACTTGTCTTCATGCTTGGGGGAAATTACTCTCAGAAATGTGGTAAAGCTGCCTACTTTTGCCTGTGAAAACTTTGAAGAATGTTGTAAGCACTTGTGTTGTGTTATGCCTGCTAGCAGAGCTAAAATTCTGTATCTGCTCTATCCCCATCTGTATCTTCCTTTGATGGGGTCATTGAATCTTGCCTTCATATTGCTGTGGTATGAGAGCTGAACGCTTCCAAACAATTAATAGAATGAACATCTTAATTTCACTTTAGGTTGGAAACTTAGTTTTGTTTTTAATAACTTGTAAATGGAAAAAAAAAGTAGCAGTTAAATGGGATACCTATCTTTATAGTCTGTTTCAACTTTTCTTTTTGTGATTGCTCTGAAAAGCCACCTTGGATGTTACTTTAGAGCTACTGAATTAAACAGAGATAACTAAGATTTTAATGCCTAAATAAAGAATAGATAGTAGTTATAAAACAACAGCATGTTTGTAAAGGGTTGATCACAAATGTTACTTGATAAGAAGCTTGGCCATTTTTGAGACAGAACAAAAAATTGTGGTGTTGAGGTCACTTGGCTTACTGCACCTGATAGTTAAAAATCACCTACCTGCTAACTGTTCTGCAGTCTTTACTTCCTATTTTCAAGAGCACTTGTGCTTATCAAGTACCAAGTGAAAAATAGTTTAAACCTTTTCTTATATGTACTTGGAAATTAAAAAGAGCCAAACAAGGTGGGTGCAGAAAAGGTGTTTTTGAGGCTACCATCGTATACGTATGATTGGATAAATACTTGGATTTAATTTGGAATTATTTTCTTAAATTTTCCTCAGCATGTATTACAACTGTTATTTTATCAGAAATATGTGATTTTTCTTTTTATGCTTTATTCCACATTGTAAATTATTATGTAACAGAAAAGAAAACTAGAAGACACTAAAATAAAGCTTGTTAATAGAGAAAATCTATTGCCTTTAATATATTGTTAATTTTTTGGTTTGGAACTAATAAAAATTTAACCAAAAATATTTTTCTATCTTGATAAGTAGTATTAATTATTAGTATAATAAGTATTATTAGTAGGAATTAGTAAAAATTACTGTCCTTTGCTGAAAAAAAAATTATTAGATAATAGAAAATTACATAATTAAATCTAGTTAAGAAGAGAATCTAGAATAGTTGTAAGATCTTTGAAGAGAATTTTAACACATGACTTCTTTTGAACAACAGCTGAAGTTTGGGATAAGGAATTTGACCCTGTCATGGTAATACTTCGAACAGTTTACCGTAGAGATGTGCAGTCTGCAATGGACAGATACACAGCATTGTAAGTTGGATCATTTTTAGAAATGTAACATCGTATTGTTGCTCATTGCACAACAATTTTTTTGTTTTCACTATCTGGTAATGCTAATCATGTTATTGATGTCTTCAGGCCCCAGATTTGTTCTTGAGTTAATAGTTTATAAATTACAGGCAGTATCAGGGGCTTGGTTAGCTTAGTCTGTTACTCTGCCATAAATGTTTAAAAGTACATCTGAAGGGCGACAGACAAGGTAGTGAATGTCATCACAGATAAAATACTTAACCAAAAGTTAATGTTTAAGAATCAGTTACAAATTACTTACAGAAAGGAGCCTTATCTATTTTTATTTATTTTACATTCAGCTACATGAAGTACAGTATTACAGTGTTCTGTGTTTTGAAATTATACTGAAGGGAATGTGGGTTTTTTCTGTGTATTCAGCCATGACAGAAGCCATGAATTATTTAAATTCTGATTTAAATTCAAGAAAAAACACTTGTGGCACTCTTAAGTTCTAAGAAGCAAGATTATTTTGTCTTAATTCTGTCCCATAACATTCTATCCCTTACAGCTTCTTACCGTTACAAATTCTTAGTTTAGCTAATTTAATTTGGTTGTCTTTTATTCACATCTTGGGAGTAAAAATCTAGTTTAAAAAAACCCTTATAATAAACTTAGTGAAATGATCCTCTGCTGCTGTTCTTGTTCCATTAAGTCAAAGGGTCATCATAAACATATACTGTAAGTTATTTTGAGCAAGATAGTATTCTATTAAATAATTGCATTGTTTACTGCACTGGATTCCAGCTCGCTGTTAGAAATGTGAGTCCACGTTGAACTTAACACTTGAGTTCATAGCTATGATAGCACTGGTACTGTCAACTCTAGCTAATTATGTCTAGCATTTCCTGGTGTTTAAAGGTCATTTAAATCAGTGGTAATCCACAGAAAAATAAGACTGGATTCAGTTTGTATATACATTCCAGTTTTTGGAATGCTGCTTAAATAAATTAAATGGCTTAGGAATGCTCATCAATTCTAAAGTTGGTATAAACAAAAAGAATGCAGGATAGTTATCTATAGCATTGGCAGTTGTCTACGTTATTGCAGTGTCTAACATAAGTCTCATTTGTTTCAACAGTTTAAAGCAAAGTGGTAAATTCCCTGGGAACCCATGGCCTCCTTACAAGAAGAGAACACCACTCCACCCAAGTTACAAAGGTCTCATAAAGCTTTTACACTGTAAAACCCTGCACATTGTGCTGTTCACACTTCTTTACAAGGTACAATCCTACCTCTCATTAAGTCCAGTATTTTACTTCCACTTTTTTAGAACAGGAGTTCTTAGAAGCATGATTTTTTAATAGTTTATTTAGAGTAATCAGGTTCATATTTATCTAATGTCTTTATTTTTGTTTTATTTTGTAAGTCTAGTATGATGATGTTTTTCTACCATTTTCATTATTTCATGAATAGTTATTTCATGCATGCAAACACTGAGTCAGATACCCAAGTGGATGAGCAGTCCTACTATACTTTGAGGAACACTGTCTTAACCATCAGAGTTGCCATTTGAATTGTTGTTCTGTGACGGTTTCAGGGCGCATGGTGGTGTGAGTGGTGTGCCTTTGACTCCCACTGCAGAGTTTTAAGGCATTAGCAGCCTATTCAAATACATGCAACCTTGAGGGGCTTTAGATCCTCAATGGCAAATATGTCTCATAACTGCAGTTGGTTCTAACATCACTTCCCAGATACATTCTGGCTTTTGGTAATGTTATAGCACTTGTTTTTCAGGACTAATTGATGCCTTTAAATTGTGTTTTGTTTTGTCTTTGCTAGTTGGCTGCATCCTTTTTGAAGAGTACATTCATCAGAAAATGGGTCTTCAATTCTGTTTTTGTACTTGGAAAGTGCTTTCAAAGCAGTGTGCTGCAGAGGCACATGAGGGACTATAAGAAGTGATTTGATCGAGTAGTGCTTTTCCTGAGCAGACTTTCCTTTTATGCTCTTTTGAGTGCTCCCAGCTCCACTAAAGCTCTTGTTTTGTTTCACTGTTAAACTTCTGTTGAATAGAAAAATATCTGTTAAGTATAGTAATAACTGTGTGGTATTCACAAAGAGTCATGTTCATTCCCATGGAGTTGTTTCAGCTGATTTCTTTCTCTAATGAAGTGTTGTCAGTATATCATTAAGATGAATGAAGACTTATGATTTTACCTGAATTCATTCAATAGATTTCACCTTTATGACAGAAAAGGACTTTTTCTCAAAAGCTTCATACTATTTACAGGTTAATGACTTCAGTAAACTATAGGTTTTGCTGTGTAATTAGTGCAATTTCAAAAATCTGCTTTATAAAATGTAAAAACTTCATTATTTTACTACTAACTCTTCCTTCTCTGTAACGTGTCTCGTTCTATTGTGGGTAAGACTGAATTTCATGTGCAGAGACTTTTGAATGAAGCTATGCCTTTTGGAAGCTCAGTAGTACAGTATCTAATGGTTGGTCAAGGTTTTCTATTGTCAGACATTAGTTCCTTATCTTGTCAAAATTTAACCAATGGCTGGCATTTTTCATGCTGAATGCCTGTTCTTGCATGAGTTTCCAAGACTGAAGCAAGGACAAAATACATCTTCTTTTCCCGTGTTTTAAACATTCTTTTACCAAGATTCTGGATCTGAATTTAGGCAAACTGTAGACATTGCAAAGTTATGTTGTATGCATGTTCAGCAACTGTTTATTTTATTCAATTAACTGTTGAAGTCTCAAGAAAATCAGTCCCAGACCAGGCAAGCCTCACACCAGAGCTCACTAGAACTTTGCCTGGATTGGCAGTACCTTGTTTCCCAGGGATTTCCATAATTTTGGCCAGAGAAGCTGCTGTGTGCAATATATTCAAGCCTACTTAGCCCTGGCCCCCTGGAGGGGCTGGACTGCCTGATTACTGCAGGGTGAAGAATGAGGCTGAGATGTGGTGGTATGTAGTGGAGACTGGGGAAGGAGCATACCTGGAGCAAATACTAGACAGGAGATTTACAGGAATGCTGCTGGAGAGAGAGCTTGGGATTACATAGAAGATGAAGTAGTATTTTGACATGGAAAAAAAAAAAAAAGAGGAGAATGTAGGGAAGGAACGCATCATCTTTTACTGTCTTGCTAGGGTTTTTTGGTTGTTTTTTCTCTTAATAGAGTAAGAAACTTCAAGGACTTAAATCTTGAGAATCTTAAAATTTCTGGGTTGTTGTTTTAGCTGGAATGCCAAATACATTTCTACCAGATTTATGGATGGTAGAAATTACATAGTGATTTATTCCATGGGTTGGCTTAAGTGATGTTTCATCTGTTTGAAATTTTGCCAATTCATGGCAGCCTTTATATCTCTTGACTTTTGGGACTATCTACGGAAGAACTGTATACTACATTTTGTGATTTGGCTTTTCAGAAGTGTTAGTCAACATGACTTTTGATTCTGACTGGTACAACTGCACATGCTTTTCATATTGACATAATACTGAGTGCCCTTTTTAATTAAATAGTCTCTGTAATCTCAAATTTGATTTGGTTTGATTAAATCAGCTGCTCAAAAGAAATTTAGAAAAGCTATTGTAAAACAATATTTGTTTTAAGCGCGTTATGTCTCTGATGTTTCTAATGGGTATATCTATTTAAGAAATTTGGCCCATTCAAAACCAAGTCCTATTTAAAACTTTACTAGGCTACACTCTAAAATATTCATTTCTGTAGTAGCCTGTCTGCAATGAAATTTTAAATGTATTTTCTCATCCGCTTTTTTGGTAACTTGCAGGTTCTTGCCATTTTGTTCCGTTTAAATCAGAATATTTTCAAGAGCATTGTTGTCCTGGTTTTTAATTTCAGCAGCACTGGTTCTTCCTCTCAATGCATTCAAAGATGTGTTGGAAGAAAGATACAGGCATTTATTAATTTAAAGATAAGTTTATTTATTATTTGTCATTAAAAAACATTATATGAAGATAGTTATGAACTAAATTCGTGTTAACCCTTCTGACATTCCCAGTTATCTACACATCACTTCTAGGACTAGGACCTCATGAGGCGTTACTGTGACTGATTGTGTGAAAAAGGGAGGGAAGGCTAGGTGCAGCTGTTTGCTTGTAGCTGACAGTAGTGGTGTCTGTGCAGCTTTACCTGACACTTTGGTGATAAAGTAAATTGGAGCTTGAACTGATAACAATTTTAAGGTACAAGTTTGTTTGACTGGAAAGATGTAAAATTGAAGTTTGTTTTTGTGGTGATGCTCAAAGGTTAGTTTTTTTCCTAAGCCTCAAAATAATTTTTAATTATCTTAAAAAAAAAATTAAAGAAAAACTGAAGAGTCTAAAGTGTATTATCCAGAACACTCTTTTTGTAAGTTTAGAGATATTGAAGTCTTAACAGGCTGAGTGCAATAATGATTTCCTGTCTTTTAATACAACACTCCTGTTGATCCATCACATCCAAAATTACATGTCTTATTTTGTAGCAGTGTTCCATTGGAGAGCTATATTAATGTTATTACTCTTGCTATTCTTGGCCTACTTCGAATTTTTTTTTTTTATCCCATAGCATAATCACTAATCAGGTATTTTGTTAAAGCATTCTATCATAACAAGAGTGAAGTTTAAAATATCGTGCTGATGTTTCAGAGTGGATATTCCAGGAAGTTGAATAGGCAATTCACTGCTCTTGAGAATAATTTTTTCTTAACTGTATTTTTATGCATGTGATAGGACTTTGAAAGTGTTACTGTGCAACAAAAAGAAATCTATTTTAAATGCTAAAATTGGTGCTCAATGTCTACCAAAAATATACCAGGGTAGCAAGTGTTGTTATGGTGTTCTGCCTGTCTAGTCTTTTCTTTTTAACTGCTACACGTATCTCATGATACGACTTTTGCAAATGTATTACTTAAGGGAAGGAAAAAAAAACAAAACAAAACAAAACAAAACAAACCCACACAACAACAACAAAAAAAACACAACAAAAATCATATAGGCAGCTGAAGACCTTCTACCTTTCCTAGTGTGGCTAACCTGGAAGGTCATGCTTGGAAATAAAATTTGTAGGTGGTATCTTGAGCTTCTTCATAGAAGACTCCTGGCAGCTTTCTTTACCTTCCAGTTTGGGTTAGAGATGTCCATCAGGGTTTTGGCAGTTTTGAGGTTTTTGCAATAGGGATTGTGAGAGTATCAAAGATCAAACCTTCTAAGATGTGAGTGTCTCTTTCTGCCTAGATATTAATGGATCATCAGAATTTATCAGAACACGTGCTTTGCATGGTTTTGTATTTGATTGAGCTAGGGTTGGAAAATTCTTCAGAACAAGAGTCAGATGAAGAGGTAAGAATAAATACTATCTATTTCATTAAAATATAAAATTATTGCCTAATGATTCAATATTCTTTAAAAATAGACGTTTAGTAAAATTACAGTTTTACCATACGAATTAGAATAAAACATCTTTCTTTACTTAAGCAGGGATCAACTAAAGAGGGGGGGGTCGGGAAGAAGAAAATTGCATACTGTTGTGGAGAGGAGAATGGTATCTTACTAGGTTTTTCAACATGTATATATAACCTGACAATGCGGATTCATTAGAACTTCGCTACACTTTAAATTAGTAGTTGAAATTGGGTGCAAAAAAAATTTAAATGATTGCATCTAAAACTCACTTAAATTTGTAGATTTTTGAGTGAAACTGAGCATTTTATTGCTAAAGCTCTGTATCTTCTGAAATATGTGAATTAGCCAAAATTTTAACTGTGCTTTTGATGAGAATTTGAACATAAAGAGGCATTATTTTTGTGATTCCAGATTTCCTTATGGTATGTGACTGTCATAATTTTTCCTACTGTTTAACATTGCTTATATGACTAAGGATCTGCCACTCCTCTTTTTTTTTTTTTTCAGAGATTGACTTCTGTACAGTTTGGATTTTTTTCTGTTAATCTTAGATTGTACAGCTTTTGGATTACTCTGAGTAGTTCCTTTTACTTCTGCTAGATAGGACTGATGGCTATATTTTACTATATTCAAATCAAATGTGTAGATTTAGGTCTTTATCAGACCTGTAGTCCTCATGGTAGGCATCAGTCGTATCATAATTCTAAGAGGTATATCAGCTTTAGTGAGGTACATACTGTGCAACATATTGCTGCTATCTGATGGAGAGGTAGCCTCTGTAATACAGTTATAAAAGCAACATGAATTATTGTAAAACAGAAGAGAAAGTATACTATTGTTTATTATTATTATTTTAGGAGTCTGTAGGTGGACAAGAGCGTTGCCATGATAGTTGGTTTCCAGGTAGTAACTTGGTTTCTAACATGCGTCACTTCATTAACTATGTCCGAGTAAGAGTACCAGAAACTGCTCCAGAGGTGAAGAGGGAACCACCTGCAAGTACGAGTTCTGATGGTTTACCTTCATCACAAGTAAGTATATACAAATACCAGTCCTTTTCCTAGATTAGTTTAAGTTATTGCCAGTTTTGGCTTTTTTGTTAGGAGTATTTTTCTACTGTTTTTATTCATTTCATAAGATATTTTTTTTCTCCAGTAATCTTCCCTAAGTGTACTGATAACAGAAATAGAAGTTATTTCAAATGATACCTCTTTCCAAATGATGTATTTAATGACTTTTTTTGTCCTTAATCTACCAGAGTTCAAGGCGGAAGAGCCTCCAGAGAGAGGTAGATCTGTGTGCAGTTTGTTCTCCCAAGCAATTAACTAGCAACATGGCTTTAATTGCGCTCACCTTAACATTCAGTGAAATCTTCTAATTTTCCTGGATTTGCTTTTTATTCATATTGCAAAGACTCATGCTTTTTTCATACTTCTAATTGTAATCTTAGGTAGTAGATTTTTAAGAAATGAAATGCCCTTATATTTTTAATACGTATTTTGAAATAAAAGCTTTTTATGAAATTAAAATGTCATTGATAGCTTACTGCTTGAGCATTGTGTTTAGGCCTGTTTTGTCTTGCCACGATGTTACTAACATTTAATAATGTAGAGTAGTCTTAGCTTTCTTGAATCTAGCTAAGTTTAACCTTACATTGAAAGTGCATTTGAAATGATTAATGGCAAGTTTATTTGGGTTTTTTGTGAAAACAAAATGAATATGTAAATGGTAGGATCCTAAAAGATTTATAGCCAGTAGATAATATAATCTCTGTGTCAGGATTGCTTTTGTATCTTTTGTATACAGCACTTCAGATTACTGCATGCCAGATATAGTGAAATATAATGGATATTTCTTTTGCATATTAACGTTAGAAAAATAGATCAGAATTTGAAGTAGGTAGGTGAGATGAAATAGATAAAAACATAAAGAAGGTAGGTGAGATGATTGTCAGAATCCCACTTTTATATTTGATCTCTGAAGTATTTGGTATCTCTTGGCTGCCCATCCTTCTGAGAAAGGAGAAGGTAAGATGTTAAAGCATTCTGAATTTCATGTTCAAAACATTCAGGAAACATCTTTCTGAAGTGGATTCAGTATATGCAAGTTGCTTCCATGTATCTTTAATTTGGGACTGAAAGCAAGGGTAGCAGAAAATAGAAACATCTGAATGGGCTCTGTCATTAATGTAACTGCACTGATATGCTCATGTGCCCCAAATAGGAGGCTCTACTTGCAAATATGGGTATGTGGCTTCTGGATCTCAGCAAAGAAATCCACACAAAATGCACAATGCACATGGAGATGTGTGGGTTCACCTGTGTTCTACCTGTGTGGGATTATAGTTACATTGTGCACAGTGCTCAGTAGACTTTTAATAAAGACATGTAGATGACATAGAGATACTGAAATTAGGAATATTCTAGAAAATGTAAGGAAACATTACTTGGAGAACAGAATTCTAAGCTTGACTAGAGCAAAGCCAGTTGTTGGTTGTTTTGGTATGGATGGTATTCTTATTTTGTACTTGGCTTTTTATGCAGGTATAACAGATTTGTATAAAAATAGGACATGCAGGCTTAGTATTTTACAATACCAAATTTCAATACATTTTGGAAGGGGAGAGGAAGCTTAAAATGTTTTGTGCTTTTCCTCTTACCTTAAAATATTTTCTATAGTTTTATAAGTGTATGTTGTTTATAGTTGTATTTTTGAAAATTAAACATTGTGATTTTTTTTCCCAAGAACTCGGGGACAGCTCAAGTGTTCAGTTTGGTCGCAGAACGTAGAAAGAAATTTCAAGAGATCATCAATCGGAACACCAGTGAGGCAAATCAGGTGGTTCGACCCAAAACATCAATGAAATGGTCAGCACCTGGTGCAACTCCACAGCTAACCACAGCCATTCTAGAAGTCAAGGAAAGCATACTCTCTTTGCTGATTAAATTGCATCACAAACTGTCAGGAAGACAAAACTCTTACTATCCTCCGTGGTTGGATGATGTGGATGTTTTAATCCACCCAGAAATTCCAAGATACTCTCATGGTGATGGAATGACGGCAGTAGAAAGAATTTTATTGAAAGCTGCTGTACAGAGCAGGTTGAATAAACGTATAATTGAAGAGATATGCAGAAAGGTGACACCTCCTGTACCACCAAAAAAGATTAGTTCTGCAGAGAAGAAAACTTTGGATAAAGAAGAAAGGTAACATTAGTAACAAAGTAAAGGGGCAGTAGGAGGCCAGTGTGTGTTGTGCATCTATTGATTGATCTGTCTGTAGGTCTTTGCATGTATTACTTGTTAAAAGAATAATGCTTAATTCTGCAGTTCTTTATCCATTTTGAATATACATGATTTACATGGGTACTGAGGAAGAACCTGCACCTTGCTAATTTAGATCTTTAAATTAAAAAACTTCCATAATGATTTTATGTGATATATATAGTCTCACTTTTCATGTTGCCATGTATACCACTCATACGAAGGTGCAGAATTAAGGTTGTGTTAACTTTTGAGGCTTAAGCTCAAGATGAGTTAGAATTTTTTTTTTGTCTTGTCTGTTCATTCATGTGCACACATAACACCATGATTATTTTTGTTTGTTTGTTTACTATATGTGGATTTGGTAATTCTACCTTTTTTTGCTTGTCTGACACATTCAGTTTTAAAATTCTGGTTTTAATTTTTTATAGTTTTTAATTTTTAAAAATTATTTTCATATTTTCTTATTATATGGCCTGAAAAGCTGCATGTCAGATATCTGTCTTGGGCTGACATTTGTTTGGGAAAAAGGTCAGATGGTTTTGAGATTGAGGTTGGGGCATAATGAGTCCTGAGAGCACCCAGAATACTAGCACTATTGAAACTGAATGCAGAGAGCCTGCTTCTCTTCTGCTTTCAGCAAATGTTGTATTGGCATGTGAGTCTTATGGAAGAGGAATCATCCCGTTCAAATGCCTGGAGGTCAGCAGCTAGAGATGAGAAGTAGAGGTGAAAACCAGGACTGACAGGGGTGGAGTTGAAGAGTTCTACTCGAGCTCCGATTCAAATAAGGGATGTACCAATGCCTACTTTTCTTAGGCCTCCAAGACCTGTTTTGTCCAGTTTCTAATCGGGTAACAGATGTACCGAGGCCTGTTTTGTCGAGTTCCCATCCTTGGCCAGGTGACAGATGTTGCTGGTACAATCAGTATTTTTCCATCCTTAGCTGTGAGAGTTTTTGGTATGATCAAGAGGTGCTTAACCGCCCAACTCATTACATAAAGGCTAAGATATGGATTTCTTAAATCGTAAAGAGGCTCAGGAAAGGGGAGGGGGAAATGCACCACCAGACAGGTCGAGTGAATAGTTGATGTTGGAAGACTCAAGCTAGCAAGTTGGGGATGTTGAGGCAGAACTGGGTATGTCAGGACAGAAACACTCAGAGAAGAGTAGCAAATGAAATAACCAATTTTTAGTGAAAATCTCAGTGTGGGAGAATGGCTTCTTGAGTGTTGATAGGAGAAGGAGAACATGGAACAGGAATGCAAATGCCTGAAGGGCACGAGTAAGACAGAGACTGGTGTTTTGGGGGGATGTAATAGAGCCAGCCGAAAAGAAGAGTTGGCTGGAGTGGAGCAGTGGGAAGAGACTGGTTAACTACTCAGTGCAAAAGACTGAAACATGGCATTGGAAGCAAGAGGATGGTGGATAGTGTTAGAGGGTTGGGGCACAGAGAGTTAGGGGTCATGTCAGAGTACTTACCACGTTAACTGAAGCAGGGACAGGACATGGCCTGGAATGGACAAGAATACTTTTGAGTATTTGTCCATGTAGTATTTTGATGTATTAATGGTTTATGTAATCAGACTATATGATTATAGTTCTAGAAGTCTGGGTAGAATCATGCAGCCATCTGACTCAGTTGGTATCTGGATTCCCTTTATTTATCTTGCTATTTTTATTTGTTTGAAAATAATTTTTTCATTAAATTCTCTCCAATATTTCCAAGACCTGCACTGTACTTGAAAATTAAACATAGATTTAACATTTTTTTAAGTTACATACTTTACAAAGTAAAGTTAATTTTTTTTTTTCTTGCAAGTGTTCAGTTAATGGTTTCATTTTCAACATCCCTTATAATAGTTCAGTAAATGAGAGAAATAGTCAAGGTTTAGCATGTAAAATTGTCTTTCAGAAAATGCAAGACTGCATGGCTGCTTTAGATAAAACACAGCTACATCTTGGACATCTCGTTATTGTGGTACTCAGTAGTGCTAGATTTGTGTACGGGAGAAGCACAGGAATCAATTAATCAAGTAACTTTTCATATAGAAAAGGATAATGTCATTCCTTTTCCCCTATAAAGGATAATGGTATTTTCAAGTATCCCTTGTTGGCACTGTAGGTTTTCAGTTAAGTTCTGGGGCTAACATAATGATGAAAATAAATGTTTCCAGTTCTTTGTTGTTCTGAGTGACTATTTTCTTCTCCCCAAATCCATAATGGCATTGGGCACCCATGAAGTTTGTTAATGGGCAGTGTGATAACTGAAATGCTGAAATGAGTAATCTCATAATCCGACAGTGCTCATGTAGTCAGGCTACAATTTTTACTTTCTTTTTTGATTGTTTTGTTTTGTTTTTCTTTTTCCCCCCGAGTGTGGTTTTGTATTAGTGAAGGCAAAGCAGAATGTGAGCGTTCAGCGATCGCCCTTTTTGGTTACTTCAACATATAATGACAAACTTGGCATCACTCAGGCAATGATTGTTGCCATAGAAACTGAAATGCAGAACTAGAAGAGAGCTTGAGCTGCAGTGTTTTTTCAATTGCAGTGTCATACTCCCATGGGCCATCATGGAAAATTACTGAGCAGTACTGAATCTGTCAGAGTTTGTTTATGCCTTCTTATTAAAGGCCTCTATTTACAGTCACTCTGCTTTTAGTCAAGGTGTATATTCAGAAATTCCCAGGGAGAAATGAATAAAAACAGGTTTAATGAATGCCCTGCTATGATCTTCAGAATAATGAATCTTAGGATTGTTGTAAATAGAAGTTATTTTGAGAAATGGTGGCTGTGCAATGTGACAGATAAATGGGCAAAGATATTTGGGTTTTTAAGGTGCCTTTAAGAAAATGAGTTAGAAGCTTTGACTTGTAAACAGGCCACCTCAGGATAGCAGGTTACAGTGTATTAGCTGCTTTGGGCCTGTGCATGCCTGTTCCTGCGCTAGGACAGCGATAATCAGATAGTGCTGGAGACTAAAGAGGACTCAACCATCAGCATATCAGATGCCAAGTGATGTTGTCAAGTCACTTGTTAGTTATCTGAATCATCTCTGAGCGGGCAAAAAAAATACATTGTAAATGCTGATGCGCAGAGTTTGTAGCTATGATAGAGCTTCCCTAGCTGCACTGGGGAGGTGATGTGTAAAACCCCCAGCCATGGGGCACGTAGGTCTTTGTGTGTGCCGTGTGATGAGCAGCTGTGGTGTGAGTTTTGTTTGGTTTTCCCACTTGCACTCTTCCACTTCCTCTATTTGTAAACTGTTGTCAAAGTAAAGATCCTTTTTTAGTACCCCAGGAAGAGGAAAATCAACGTCTATTTTCTTTATCTTTTTACATCCAACAGTATTCCTCTACCCTCTGCAGTATGTATACATAGAGAGTTACAGAATAGCTGGTCACTAATCACTAGATCACTAGTACAGATTAAATAGAAGGGTAGCCAAGAATCAGTCTCTAATGTCTTCCATTTGTAAATCCAGAGCTGTATTAAACGATGAGGAAAAAGTCAGTGAAGTCAGCTTGGGTCCAGGGAGATAAGATCCTTTAATCTGGAAGCAATCTAAAACTTCTTTAAGTCCAGGTATAAAAGCTGTTGGTGACCAGTATCTTGGGTGGAGGTAGGGGAGAGGGAACCACTATGAGGAGCCTTAGCTGGAAAATAAATTATTCATAATTGTGTCCCTTGGCATCAAGCTTGATATGAAAAGTAAGTGAGGTAGGCTATTATTATTATTATTATTATTAACTTGTAAATGTTGGTTTCTCATAAAAGTACTTGTTTTTGTACAATGGTTGACATTTCACTCTGTTATTCTTCCCTTATGTAACAGAAAAATAACTTTAAAGAATAAGGTCTTGAGTCCTTTTACTTCTGATGCTATGTCCTAATCTGTTAAAAGATCGTTTGGTTTTCTGAAGGGTTTTTTAGGACAGGATTTAATTCCTTTCTTTCAGACTCAAAAGAAAATACCTCATTTCTTTAAAAACTGTACTTTTAAAGCAAGAGATTCCTTTTTTAGGCTTGAAAATTAATCCTTTATTTAGAGAAAACTTGAATTTTGAAGGATATGTTGAAAGTGGTGACTGTAATCAGCCTGACGCGATAAACTTTTTTTTTCTATTACATGTACTTTTTTTTTCTTTTTTTTTTCCTCTTCCCCTCTCTTTTTTCACTCAGACGACAGAAGGCCAGAGAAAGACAACAGAAATTGTTGGCTGAATTTGCCTCAAGGCAGAAAAGCTTCATGGAAACTGCCATGGATGTTGGTAAGTTCTTGTGTGGTTTACTGCTTGCCTTCCCACCCCCCACATGTTAGTATTAAGTTTCTTACTCCAAAAGTTTTAAAAAAACAAAATGAAAAAACTAAACAAAAAACCCTCCCCTCAGATACCACTATTGTATCCACTTGTTCACTAAATACTTCTTAAGAGGCTTAAAGTTTTGTTTTCTAGGACAGTATTATCTGAATACATAATTGCTAAAGAATAGATTAAATGATCTTGAAAATATTTGAAAGAGAACACATTATCTGTAGGACGTAATTTTATTCCTGTGTTTTCTTAATACACAGTGGATGAAATGATTAAGGTGTGATGTGTTTTAAAGTATTTTCCATTTAATATAAAAAGTCCCCAAGTTAGTTTGTCTTTTAAAGATGGCATTGTCTTTAATCTGTAATAATAAAATTGAAGATTATTTCTTCATAGAGCCTTGAATTTTAATAAGGTAAAAGTTTTAAATTTTAAATTTATGCACAGAATTATGGAAAGCATAATTTTTAGATCATCTCAGTTGCTGTAAGTGATAACATTGTATTCTCTTTCAAGTACAGGCCTTTACAGCAGAATGAGCTCTTGTTTTTCTTGAGGATAAATTCTTTCAGGTTCTGCTGTGTAGAAGTGCATAATCTTGATTAGTTTGCTTATATTTTAACTGAGGAATGGAAAATATTTTCATCATCTGGATTACTTCATTGAAAATTAGCAATTTTGAAAGATAAGAAAAAGCAGGAATTTTCTTTTTCCCCTTTTTCAATCATGTTTTTTATCATCTGCTATGTAGTTTTCAGTTTTAGGTACTGGTTAGAAATACTATTTGTTGAAGTAAGGAAGAAGTGAAGAAGAAACATGCAGTTCTACTTATTAAAAATTAAGTCTTTTTACAGTTGTGGTTTTTTGAAAGCGACTGGGAAACTTTTATTCTGCAGTCACCTATATTTTGAATTGATGATATTGCAACTGTAAAGTTGATGGGTTTTATATATGAAATCACATGTATCTATATATATTTACCTGACATAGCTGTATTTGCACGTATACATATGTATGCATACGTACTCCCATGCTTGAGTTTTATAAGCTATGTTTAAGATAACTGCTTTGATTTGTGGACGAAGTATACTGGTTAGATCAATAAATTACACAGCCTTTTTTTATGTGGAGGACTGGGAACATAGCTTTTACTTAACTATGTGTGTCAAATATTAAAAAGAACTCTTAATTTCTGTAGCAGGCAGACCTGGGCCTTTATGCTTATGATTCTGCATTAAACAGTTCTTGGGCATGCAACACTGAAATTGTTTGTTTCTTAGTATTTAAACAATGAATAACTCCAGATATTTCAACATAAAATGTAGTGTTTGTTGTCAATTCTACCAGGTCTTGCACAGCAGTAGATAGAATCAACTTAATGGACTACATTTTCATAAAGTTGTTCTGCATGAAGACATTTCTTGGCAACAACTTAATAGAATTCCAGGCATTGTGTTAGCTAAATAATTGCTTTGCTAACTTTTTTCAATGTCTTCTAGATTGCCATATTGTTTTCTGAGTTTGTGATGAAAATTCACTGGATTTGTACTATAGTCCAGTATTAACTAGCTTTTATGTTCAGACTGGCATTAAAATAGCTTGCAGAAAGGAAGTACGTATTCCATTATAGTGTGTGGGATTTATTTAAAAATCTAATTAATTGTTTGCCAGGACTATTTTCTTCAGTTTACTCTAATTTTTTGTTTAACTGAAGTAATTTGTTCTAGCTGTGAATGCAGCCTCTATATGTTACGGCGAATTATTGAAAAAGTTGCAGAAACCTTTGTTATTCTAATTTTAAAACACAAGACATGGTAAGAATTCTGAAACTAAGTCCTTCTGGAGAGATTCAGTTTAAAACTACTCTAAGTATTTAATAGACTTACCCTGAATTGTATCATATCTATGCTGAAATAGTACATTTGAAAACAAAAAAATCCTTTGATACTAAAATCAGTCAGTTAAAATGTGTTCCCCTCTCAGACATTCAAACTCTGCTACCTGTTACTTTTATTATAGGTTGAAATTCAGCAGTAACTTTATTTCTTAATTTTGATTGTTTATTGTAACAGTAATAACGCTGTCAGAATGCAGGGATGGTGAGGCCTCAGCTCCCTGGCTTTGTCACTGATTCAGTTGGTGTCATTTGGGCAAATTGTTATCATCATCATCTTTTAAAACTTCTCTGTCTATGAAACGTGGATGTGATTCAGTGGTAAAATGTGAGAACTGGTGTAAATATTTTAGGGTATAGCACTTAAAATGTAATAGCTTTCTCCTGACAGTGGAGAAGACTAAAAATACTCTGAAAATAAATGTGTCTGGAAGATGATAGGAATAACGGAGAATAGCCAAAGCTTAAAGATCATTTTATTAAAACCCCATAAACTTAATAGTTTCCAAAGTGTTTGTTTCTTGAAGTGCACAGAGCCACTGTTGGGGTGCTGCAAATGAAACATGGCTTAAAAGGAGGTTACCCAGTTACACGTTCATTTGTCAGTATTAAATGCATCTCATTGTACCAGCAAAAATTATTTATTTAAACTGGAATTCACAAATTCCTCTGAGAGTCTGAAGGTAAAGGTTGGCAATTTCTTGCATATAATCACTGTAGAAAAAATTCCGATTATGTAGACCCTTCCATTTATGCCCCCTGTTACTTTCTATTTATATTCTGTGACATCTGCAGAATTGCGTTGCCATTCAAGCTTGCTTGGAAGTAATTACGTGAAATTTAGAAACGGTTATGTTAATGAACTAGGATGGAACAGAATCCACTGTGCTGTCTTTAGCTCTTTGACTGCAGCACAAATGTAAAAAGTAGAAAAATAAACCAAGAAACATCGTTCTAAGAGCAGCAGATAAAGCTCTTAAAATATCTGAGGAGAATATCTAGTGAGTTAAAAAATGTGTTGTCATGTAGTCACACACAGTGTCAGCTCCATAGGCCTTCTAGTCTCCTGGTAATAGCTACTTTTACATCTTTGTTTTGAGGGCACTGATCTCAGTGTGAGGCTATGCTTTATCTGTTGCCATGTGGAACTCCATGCAGGAGATTTTTGAAACTTCACTGCCTTTCAGGCAGGATTTGATAAGAACAAAAAGAAATCCCTCTGCTGCAGGTTAATAGTAGCCTTTAACAACTTACAGTGATACTTGTAAAGATCTGTTTATCTTAAGTTTTATGAACATGAAATATTACGATCCATTCCAAGCAAGCTGCTGAACTACTTACTTGAATGTATCTTAGTGAAAATTTGTAAATTGCTTGATTTGTGAATTATAAATATGAAGATGTTTTGCATTTGTTCAATAATTTTGCTGTCTCTAAAGTGCCCAATGTGACACCCCCCCCCACCTCCCCCCCCAGTGCTTCATGATAAGTATGCAGTATGATCTTTCTGTTTCTTTACTATGATGTGAGTCTTGGCAGGTCGTAATTTTGTCCTTCAAGTGAATGTTCCTTAACTAGAGTTAAAAGGAAGTGCAGAGTTTTAATGCAAGGTGACATACATTTCCTAACACTCAATCTCTGAACCCAGATAGAAAAAATAAATGAGGTACTGATCTCTTGAGAATATGTATGCTGGATCAGGGCAAAGAATATTAGCATACTAATGGTTGCTTTGATGCCAGGGGGCCACTTTGACACACAATGAATACGGCAGGAAAAATGTTGACTCCTGTCCACAGAGATTGTGAGCTATATTTACAGTGTTTACAAAGCTGTTTCAGTTCTGGAGTTTTGCTGGATAGGGGAAAGAACGGGAGTGAATCTTTTAATTCTGGAGAGTAGAAATGAAATAAAATTCAGGCAGCAATACATTCTGCAATACAACAGTGTGCTAGATTTTAGCAGACTGATCGGTATTTGCTAGGAGGTAGGAAATACTAGGACTTTGTAACTTAGGGTCTGTCACTCCTATTTGTACAAAACTAAGCAAAGAGCTAAATAATTAACTTTTTTAAAAACCCGTGGGAAAGATAATGTTTGGCACTACCCTGGATTTCTGTCGCAGTTTAAATGTTTTCCTCTTCTGTCAGTGTTTTTATCAATGAGGTTCATATTTATCCAGATTTCTGAAATAATTCACAAGGACAAAGAAAAGTCCCAGAACCCACTGTAAAGGGAGTGGAGTACGTTACAACATTAGACAAACCTCATGAGAGAAACTTAGTGAATTGATGCCAGTACCATGTGTCTTAAATTTTCCATTTGTTCCTCCTTCACACACATTGACATCATCAAGACAAGTCTGTGTGAAATCAATTAGGTTAAATCTTTGTTTCAACTGTAACCATCCTTGGTTGTGTTCTAAAGAACGCTTCACATAAAATACACTTGCTGTCTCCTATGACTGCCGCCTGGCTGGTAAAGCCATGCTTCAGCCTAGCAACTAAAGCCACTTAGGTCTTCCTTGCTCTTCTGTTGCCACTACCTACTTTCTGAATCTCCAGTGGAGTGGTGAGATGTCTTCTTTTGGGTACCAGTGATTCTCATGTGAAACAAAACTACAGGCTCCTACAAAACCTGTTTGAAAGGTGGAGGAGTGATATGCCTCAAGATCGGTATCTTAGCAAATAGCTGGCAAAGGATTCCTTTGACACTCAGTAAGGCAGCATTGTTCTGGGACCTAACACATGGTGCTATTTTTCATGGAAATATCTTCATAGTGTCGGCAAAAAATGTCAGGGGTTTGTGCGCCGGTGGAAGCAAAATAAGATGGTTTAGATTATCCTTCATCTTTTGGTTGCAACTGACATAGCTTTGTTCAATTGACAGTTCTTGGTGGTGATTTGGGCAGGGGTTTTAGCCAGAGAAGGAATTTTATGTTATATTGCAATTAATGTTTAACTATAAAGACTTAATCAATATAAAAGGACATTTAGTAAAATAATAATTTTTATTAAGCTGTCTTTTTATAATTTCATCCTGGGAGCTAGGAAATGTTAGCTCATGCTTTAAAAATTGGTAAGAACCTATATTTTCTGAATTGAATGAGCTAGCATTACAGCTCCAGTCATTTCAAATAAATGCTTCACAAATTGCCGTGGAACACGCAAAGCAGTTCTGTACTTTTGTTTATATGAAGTGGAGAAATAAGAAAAAAAAAAAAGGTGTGGAGCTACAAATTTCTGGGCATTTTAACCTTCCGTACTCATAGTACTATTGCAGTAAAATGCAGTTTAGTTTTATTTTTCCGCATGTGAAATAGGAAATACATAACTGAAAGTGAAGTGGAATGGAGGCATGCCAATTACTTTATATTGACATGTATCAATGCATGAATGAAATATTTTAGAAGGAAGTTTGCAGGAAAG